TTTAAAATCTCTGGTGTGCACTGGTCTGGATCACTGATGGGAGGTGCAGCACACCACCTGGGCTCCATTCATCTACTTGTAACACTACTCATGGTCTCCAAGACACGTCCAGATACCATATTTGCCCCTTTCTTTGTCTAACAACGTGACCCTTTGGATGTACTTTTCCATCCATCTTTCTATGTCTTCTGCTTCTAGTAAATCCATGTACATTTAAACTATAATCACTTTTTCTCTTGACCTTTCCCCTGCTAGGAACTTTATCCCTCTTAATTCCTCCCTCCCACATTTCTCTGCATATTGCTTCCAAAAGATCTCATACCCTTCTCCATCTACGCAAGTCAATTCCCAAGTCTTTCAATTCAAGAAAGCAATCTGGCAGGCAGTGGTGGCATGGTCAGCGGCAGAAGCGTGGCGGTGGTAAGTGTGGAGCTGCCGTAGGCAGCCATGGAACTGTTGTCAGTGGGGAAGGGGGTTGCGAGTGCCAACCACTGTTTGACAACCACCCACAGACACTGACGGCAGTGTCCATGGTGGCCAGCGGCGATCACGGATCACCTAGATTAGAATTTTTGTTTTTCACTTTTTCCTTCATACTGCTGCAGTGGAAAATAAAGGTTGTTTGTGATAAGGGCCAGAAATTACACCTAAATCGGTTTACGTGATCAGCAACCCATTTAAACCTGTAACACAACAGACGTTCAGTGCACATAAACTGCTTTCAAAATAAAAGGATTTAAGTTAACTCACAGTCCCCCAGCATCCCAGGAGGCTTTGCACTTCCCCTGAAAACCCCCCTTGCAGAGTGGGTGGGCTAGCCTTGGCCCAAACTATCTGTTCCAGCTGAGCAGGAAGGTGTGCCCTCCCTCCCTCCCTCCCCCCCAGTTTCTGGCCTGGGCCACTGCAGGCATGGGGCCTCATTTCTGGAATCAAAAGTGAATGTCTGTTCACTTGCTTATCAGTTCAATCTACACAGCTTAGACTAACCTGTGAAGACTGAATTGATTGAGCCTCAGGCTTTTTGACTATCTGTACCTATCCTGTATAGCTAACTGTCCTTCCCTCTATATTAACATACTTGGATTTCTTTTGGTTTAACCTAAACTTTGAATTTCCTGGTCTTATAGTATACAGAAGTACAATTAGTATAGTATAAGTACAATTACAATTAGGGGTGCACTGATAGAGATTCTGGGGGCCAACACTGATAGCCAATATTTAAGGAGGCAAATCGGCTGATACCGATCCGATATCCAATACAGCTGCCTCCAGGTGGTAAGTCTGTTGTGAAAAGGGGGGGAGGGAAGGAGTATGGGGGCAGATCAATACCCCATGTAGTGAGGGAAGGAGGGGGCAGGGGCCAGGTGCTGCCCATTGGGGTGGGGGCACAGGACAGAGGCGCAGCTCATGGAGGGAGAGGCAGCTCCTGCCACTGCCTGCACCCCAGGAGGGCAGGGAGTGGCCCCAGAATCTGTGCACAGCAGGGAGAGCTGGGAGCAGAGCTGCGGTGAAATTTGGGGTGGCTGCAGCCCCTCCCAGCGTGCCAGCACCCACTCTGAGCCCAGCCCCCTCTGTGAAGATCCACGCAGTGTCAGCTCTAGCCTGCCCCACCCCACACGGATCTGGGGGGCACATGCCCCCCCACCCTCCTGGTGTGCAAGCAGCAGCAGGAACTGTACCCCCCAACAAGCTGTGTCTCCATCCCACACCCCTGCCCAACCTGGACAGCACCTGCTCCTGCCCCCTCCCTCACTGTGGGGGCCTTGATCTGCCCCCCCATGGCCCTTCCCTCCCCTTCCAACTTACCAGCTGGAGGCAGCTCTCCACACTGCCGGCTCTGCTCCATGCTGCACACAGCATGGGCATCTATCAGCCCCATTGGGCTGACATACAATACAGCAAATTTTCTTTACATCAGTACCGATCTGATAGCAGACTGATGTATTGGTGCACCTCTAATTACAATGTTCATGTCATGAATATTACATTAAATTACTAATATGTACTCTCAACTTTTACTATCTAATAAAGATTTTATCAGAGATTTTATATTTTAATTAAAAATTGCACACATGAACCAGAAACCAAAAGAGTATGCCATCATGAAACTTTTAATGTGATTTGAAGATATTACGTAGTTATACCATCACAGAAGGAATAATCTAACCCAACCCCTTGCACAGATGTAGAGTTCACCATTCCTAAACCATCCCAAACAATTTTCTTTTCACCAAAACTATTATGAAGCTAGTTATTCCTAGTTCCTGATTTGTGTCACTGATTTTTCTTCTCTATGGGTATTGTTAGATGTTACCCTTGGTACAAGTTAAACACACTTAAAACACGAATGTTCATACGTTACAATGTGAAGACTGGTGCCAAGGGTACTCTGAATGGTTTTAAGGTAGGCCTCTTTGGGCAAAGAGTATCTCCAGTTGGTTTCCCTAATGTCAGCTGCCCCACCATCAGGGGATTCAGATGCAATGAGGTTGGGGATGCCTCCCATCCCCACACTATGCTGGAGCCTTGCCAGTTTGAGGCTCGATCTGGCTGGAAGCCCAGCTTTGTTGGGCTCCCATCCCACCCAACCCCTCCCAGCTGCATGGGAGCCTTGCCAGTTCAAGACTCCAGTACAGTAAGGTGGCTCAGACTAGCTCCTGTGCCATGCTGGTGTCACTCCCAGCCTCTGCAGTGAACCCAGACCCTTGAACCAGCCCCCTATGCAAGCCCAGGGCTGAGATCCAAAAATCAGTAGTTAATAAATTCTGTATGAGATGAATATCTCCCATGCTGATATGAAGCCACAATGATCACTTTTATCCCCTGCCATCTTTGCCAGCACAACTGCTTTTTCTAATATTCCAGAGCCTATGATTTACCATTGCCAACTAATACTCTACACAGTAAGCACAGTAGTCATCTGAACTGGACATTTTAACAGGCCATACTTCTTTTCATAGGACATCCACTATTTTCCTCCTACAGCTGAAGACCATAAGATTCAGTTTAGTCTTTATAAATGTGATTTCTTTTCAAAGCTCTGTAATCACTAAATCATGAAAGGCATCATCTCTTTGAAGGACCCTATCCTAACCAATGCCCTGATGTACAGTTATTCCTGCATGGACTACCACTGAATTTAAAGGACTGCGGACTAAACCTCACTCTGCTTTTATGCACTTACTTAATATTATGTGTGGATAAATGTTTTCAAGTTGCGGTTGTGAGGTATTAATTTCCCTATCAGTTACAGCTTGAGATGATCCCAGATGAGAAACTATGGCTTGCAGCAAATCAAATCTTCATGACATGATCTCATTACTTCAAGAGATCATATCAAACAGCTTTTACAGATTTATGTCTATACTAACAGTAGCAGCAAGGAAGCCCAGAGCAGTGATGCAGCGGTCTTAGTGATAATAGTCTTAATTTGAAAGGTTGTTTCAATATAAACAGCCCATTTTCTTCTTAGAACTGTGGCTAAATATAGACAAATTCAAAATTACAAACTAAAGTTCTACATAATTGTATGTTACTTGAATATTAACAAAAGTAGCAAAGCCTCCCTCTGTCCATGCTTTTCATCTGCACAAAATCATTATTTGTCCCATTGTTTTTAAAACCTAGCTGTTCCTTTTCATTTAATAATTGCTCTGAGTCTGAGGACAACCCACCCAAGTAACTCTGGCATTCAAATCCTCTTACCACAAATTCGTTTTCTTTTACTGCATCCCAGCTCAACTGCATTTGTAAAATTCTCCTTCCCACCTTTACAGTTCTTTATTCTCTAGACACAGGTTTTCCCCCGAAGACATGAAGGATGTATTGAAAATTCAAGTCTAAAAAGAAAATGGGGGATGGAAGTCCTGCTGCAAATGGGAATGTTACCTCACCAAAGAAATGCATGTCTAGGCTGTTAGAACATATAGCTGTGAAACATACAGCAATTTCATTAGCTGCTACCCAGCCGTGGACAAAAATGGGATTTTGCAGCACATATATGCTATCATCATATCACATGACTAGTATTAAAGAACTCAGTCAAATATAAAAACTAAGCCATGTCAATCCACGTAAAGCAGTCAAGAAATTTTCTACCTTTTGACCATTTTTACTGTAGTTTCTAGTGGAATAATTTTTTATATGTACAAGAAATCTCTATGAAAAAGTTAAAAATTTGTTTATGTGCAACCAGTGAATATATGTTTCTATTGAATTAGAAGCAGAGTATATATGGACATTTATAGACTAAATAAAATATAGAGAGAGAGCACAAGCTTCCCAAGTTCACAAGCCCAAGTTCACTTCAGATGCCATTTAATTGCTATTAACAATTAAAGAAATGTTAAAGTTCATTTATAATTTTCAAAATAATCTGCAGAAGTATAAATAAAGAATGTAAGCAAATAAAGACATAAAGCAAATACACATACTATGGACAAATTGTTCAGCTTAATACAACTGTTTTTAACTCAATTTTATTTTTCATTCTATAGACACCTTTGGGGCTCAAATATTTTGCAATATAAAACAAAAGATTTTGAAAAGTCTATTTATTCATTTCAGTACTTCAAAGAAAGACAAAAAATAGCAAAATATGCTTTCCAAATTAATCCTTAAAAAGAAGCATATTTATATTGTTGACTTGTGGGGTGAATATGGATTATTAAGTCATTTAATTTGAGATTTAACATGCCATTCCAGAAAGAAGTGTGAACACACTCTATTTCATAATTACTATTAATGGAAACAAAACTTATCTGTTCCTTCAAAAAATACTGTCTGTTTTACGGCAATTTTTGTGGACAAACAAAAATATCAAATGTGAGAGCAAGAAATTCAGGGAAGAGGCCTCTGATTCTTGATTCATAAAAGCATTTTTATATTTTAGTATGAACTACAACCAGGTTTTTTTCTGTCTATACAAACTTCAAGTCCCAGGGTTTCAATCCCACAATAAATTATTTTTAAGTACTAGAAAATAGCTGAATTGGCATTACCTTCTTTTCTTCCTGTAATACTATTACTTCATGATACCGTGGAATGTAGGGGTCATATTTTTTCTTGTCTTCTTTTTGGATGTTGACATTTTCATAATGTAGTGCACTTTCCCTTTAGAAAGTTTAAAGAAAGATTTATGAGTCCTTGGTTTTAAATGCCTGGACATACAAATACACAGAATGAGAGCCTATTCTCTTTCAAGTGTATTACAAACAGCTGCTATATGCAATAACTGATGAAAACCCAGAATGCTCAGCAATGGGTGGGTCTATGCATATTGTAACTGTACAGAAGATTCAGAAATCAGACTTCAATTATTGTAGTTTGCTACTTGTTCATAGTCATTGTGTCATCATCATCCCAGGTTCACAATAGCAACCATGCAATAGAGAAAAAGGCAAAAAAATAAGAATACAAAAAGGCTGGAAAGGGATTCAATAATAGCAGATATTGGGAGAGCAGATGTAGATCAATCAACCTGTAGATACAGCACATCACTTTCTAGTCAATATACTATGTCTTAAACAATTAGTCTTAAAACTTCCAAATCTATGATATACTGTATGATTGAGGCTCTGACTCAGAAGATCATGTAGTCATACTTTTAATTTTGAGTACATTCTCAAGTACAAGAAACAAACTTCAATTCAAGAAGACAATAAAGTCTGCTTAAATTCTTCCTGTCACAGGGTAACAGCACGGTATAGCCCCGAAGGGCAAAAGGGGAAGCCTGGGACCCGAAACGAGGCTGGGGAGAGGGGAGAAGAGAAAAAAAACAATAAGCTCCTTACCTGCAGCTGATGATGCGGAAGAGTCAGAAGTGGCAGCGGGACCCACGTGGCTGATTAGCCACGTCTTTTTCAAACTACGGCCAGCTGCGATCAATAACGATCGGAGCCAGCGCGGGGGCATAAAGAGCGCCCCGAGCAAAGAAGAAGAGGAGGGAGAGAGCTGGAGCGAAGCCAGGAGGGGAGACACTCCTGAGGCCCCGCTCGGAGGCCAGGAAGAGGCCAGCGGCCAGCCACAAGGCTGGAACACATCCCGCAGCTGCAGGAAGGAGAACGCCCAGAGAGAGGTGGCGGATGCCCGGGCTTGCGACGGCGGAGCTGGGTACAAGGATTTGGGGTCAGAGTCCGGCGCTAGGAGCCACCCCAAAGAGAGAGGAGTGGAGGAGGACCCGGCAATCCAGGTGGGATCGGCGCGGGTTTGGGGAAGACCCCAGAGTCCATTCCGGCAGGCAACCAAAATACAAGCAGCGAGAGGGACTGCAGAGCACAGGATTCTGCCAGGCGGGACCACTCGGCGAGGGACCGAGTGAAGAGGGAACCAGAATGTCCAGGAGCAGTCCTGAGTGGCAATTAGGAAACCAAAGCAACCAGCCAGAGGGGTGCTGCAGATAGAATCAAGTTAGGAGAGGATTTTCTCCAGGACAGGGAGTCCAAACTTTGATTTATAGCCCGGGAGACTTATGGGTAGTGTTTTCTTTTGAGTTATGTGCTGAGTGGCCCACGGTTGGAGGGCCAGGGAGGAACCCTTAGAAGGATTCCTTAATTGGCTGGGTCTAGAGTCAGGACAAGCCTACAGATTCGCCACCAAATACCCCTTGGCATCGCAAGGCGAGGGTCGGGCCCGGGAACCATCAGCAACTCGGCGTGGCTGGGTATTAGGGCGAGGTGTAGGAGAGGACGGAGCCTCACAGAAGACCATCACCCCCAAGAGTCCCGACTCCGGATAAGCTTAAGTAACTGGCCCCTCCACTGAAGTTCACCAGCAAAGTCGTGGCAGACGAGATGGGGCGGGGACTACTCCTAAGACCTATCTGAAATAGACAATTCCAGGGATGAGGTGACAGGCAAGTCCATACACCAGAGCAAGCAGCACGAGACCTAATGTTCAAAGCCCGCCGGTTGCACTTCTCTATTCATGCATTGAACTCAACCCTTAAGCAAGCAGGATTAAGTGCACTGAAAATGTACGGCTACCTTCAATGTCATAAAAGTTCCACTAGAAGTCTTTTTTTTTTTTTTTAAATTAAAATCAACACAGAACCCCATCTGTTTTGCATGTTAAGGGGCTAGAGACTTAAGTGGTTACGGTCACAAAACAGTAAATGAACAGGAACAAGTTAATTTTTTTAATTGTCACAAGAAATTTAAAAAACAAGTTTCCTTATATAGCAGAATAGCTTAGTTACAACAAAATATGCAAAATAAGACTGAAAATACCTTTCCCTGCTGTGAATATTACTGCTGACATCAGATGATACTAGCCAAGCACAGAAATTACAGTAATATATTTCTTATCCACTGTCTTATGGTATGCAAGCTTTTAAATTCAATTTGCAGTAGAAGAACATCAGAATATTTGAAAAAATATTGTATTTTATCAAGCCACTGAGCATACAACAAATGGCTGTCACCTAAAACAGACTATTTCTTTTCACTGCTCCAGTATGATAGAAAGACCAATAATTTCAACTATGATGTCCCTAATAAATATATAATTGTTGGATGTAGTAGGGGTAAATCCTCATGTAATGTATGAGTTAATAAGTAAGATGGGTGGCAAGCCCATCAACTGGAAATTTAAAATGAAGTTATGAAACAAAATTCAACCTAAGTACACCTACCATGAGGATTTATCCTAAGCTATTTTGGAACTGAACTGATGTTTCCCATCTTCTCTCAAATGAAAATTACCCTAAAGTAGTTTATGCAAACACACACTACAGGGGTGTTCTATTATGCCAAAAACAAGAATTATAATATCATATCATACTTTCAAGCTGTACAAACATTAAAGGTATGAAAATGCACATCAAAAGTTGCATAAACAATTTTAATTCCCCCTAATAATTACACCATGCAATAAACATACAAATTAGATAACTGTATTGTAACATCTGTGGTCCCAGATCAGATTAAGCAGATTTTTAAAAACTTGATTATTTTTTTCATTTTCTTTTATGGTGTCTTTTCAAGTCAAAGTCAGATCTGTAAATATCTTAAGTGCATTTTCATACCTTACTCTGCACTCAGTTTTCAGAATTACTGGCAAGTACAGGGAAAACCTCTTATAAAATTCAGACAAATTGAAATAATGATAAAATTGAAAGTGAATATGGAAACGAAACATTTTGGGGGGGAATTAATAGCCAAAAATGAAATAGAAACCGGTATATTTTTACTTACTGAGTTATGTCATACTCCCCTGGTCCAGGACCTTCTTGAGGCCTAAATTCACTGCGTCTTCCAGTTAAATTTCCAAAATGTATTCCTTTATACTTCTTGGAAGAATCGGTAACATCCTGGACATTAAATAAGCAAAGGCAACTTTAAGCTTGTAAGCCAAATGTTTACCTCATGACTACAAAAGTGTCTAAAGGTGGCACATTGTTTTACTACTCTCTGCAACTTGTTCTATATGTTAATAGAGTTGGAAAAAATTCTGATTTTTTTGGTTAAAATTCTGCCAATATCTAAACATTTCACATAAACAGTTTAAGAATCTCCACGTAGGATTTCTGCCTCATTTCCCTCTAGTTTACTCACCCATTCGTTTTGATTTGCTGAGCCAGGCACCATTCAGCCCACCAGGTAGGCCATAAAGGACCCATTATTTCTAAAGACCCATACCAGGTTAGCAAGCTAGATGCCATGGAACTAAGCATCCTCAAAGCCCTGTGTCCACCAACTAAAATCATACAAGTCCTGTTAGTTTCACTTCTGCCTATCATTGAATAGTAGTCTTGTTAACTTGCCAGTCTGACAATGAGAGTTCAATTGGTTTTACTACAGTTAATAAGTGGCTGGTAGGAGCAAAATTAACAAGAAAAATGGCAATTCCAAGCCATAACTACCAGGGATTCCAAGTTCCTAACTTCTTGGCAGGCTACTAGGTGGGCAATCAGGTGTTTGGATGAGCATCACATTTTCTTCTACTCAAATGAAACATTGCAGGGTTCAGTTTTGCAAAAAAAAATCATGAAAAACTGAAATTTTTCACAAAGGTGGAATCACTTTCATTGTCCTAGCATACACAGATTAAGCTAATTTCTCTTCTAAAAGTACCATGTCTTTTTCCAAATTTACTCAAGTTTTTTCATTCATTTTAGCTTTCCCATAAAGGAAAGGCCCCAGGACTTTAAAAACACATAAAGTAAACCATACAGAGTTGTATCTATCAATTATGTGAAAAATGAGGTACCCATTCACAATTTCCATCCATAACAGATGGACTAATATTTCCATGTACCATAAAGAAATGAAAAAGCAAATATCCCAGAAACTAGGTGGTATACTTTTCATTAAATAATGTGTGTTTCATGTTTTGTTTCACGTTTCACTACTAGGATGCTCCCCTACATGCTATTCATCCATTATCTGTCCAATTATACCATGTGCATGTGTCCACACATTTGTCATTTTAGCAGTCAAATGTATGTCCTGTCATACTATTCAATGGCGTTCATATCAGTTAGACCACAATTGACAGGATAACTTAATGAAGACATGTCAAACAGCTGAAATTTAATGTTCATGTCATGTCATTTTGTCCCACTATCCACTCATGTCTCGCACATTTTTCACATCTGTGCCTAAGATACTAGTTAAATACACAAACAAAATATGATGGTCATGAGTTTAAATGGCTGAGGGAAATATGCAGAGCTGCATAAGCCTCACCAAGCTCATGGTTTGTTCATTTTTAGTTTAGCTAGCTCATGTTTTGCTCAAGTCTTTTCTTTAGCTACCTAACTCCTGAGTTTGCATCCAAATACGCCCGAATATTTGAAGCAGATATCAATTCATATCACTGAATTTTAATTGATTTCATGCAAAACTTTAAGTAGTAACTGTTAGAAACAAAAGCAGGAATTTACACTGGGGCCTATAGGAGTTAAATATGAAATTCAATAGGATTTGGCAGCTGGCTCCCTATGAGCAATTTTTAAATCCCTGTAGCAAAACCCCCAGTTTGTTGTTTGTTCGTTGTTGGGTTTGTTTGGTTTTTTGGGGGGGGTTATTATTTAAAAATACATTCCCTCCCGTTCCCCTAACCATTTCTGACTTTTTCTCTCCCTCTCTATCCCCTATAGATAAGCATAAGTTAGCTAAGCCATAGG